CCTCCGGCACCGAGTACCGCACCTGCCCGCCGACCAGCGCCGAGGCCAACTGCAGCACCAGCACCCGCAACAAGGCACCACGACACACGCAGCCCATCGCCATCGCCGCCGGAGGCACCCGCCCGGGCCCGTCCGGCTCCCCGCCGCCGCCCGGATTCACGGGCTCTCCTGCCCGGCCCGCGCTGCCCCCCCCGCGCTCACAGCCGGGTTACGCGCCGCTCGCATCGAGGCGGAGCCGCCGACACGCCGTTTCTGAGCCTGCAGCGACACCGTGTGCTGCTCCAGCGCCTCAGACGCTTACCGGCATCGCCCAAGCGTCCGGACCCGGGCTGCTCCATTCCCTCTCCGCCTCTTCATCCTCTTGGCTCTTTTTTCTTCCTTATTCCGTGTTCTTTGCTTGCACACATTCCTTTCTTTCCTTCCTCCTCCTTCCTTTCATTTTATTTCATTTTTTATCTTTTCTTCCTTTTCAGATTTTCATTTCTGTTGTTCTTCCTTTCCCACTCTGGACTTTTCTTCTTGCATATATTTCTGTTGGTTATTGCTTATTCTCTATCTTCTGTCTCCTTCTTCTGAAAATTCGTTTCCGTTATTTCCCTACCTTGTTCTTCACGTCATTTTCCCTTCTCTTCCCACGTTTCTCTCTCCTTTTCCGCAAGTGACAGCTCTCAGTCACCTTCGGCCCCACGGTGGACACTGTCAAAGATGGACCCATTCCCGCTAATGACGGGGCAGCAGCGACGGAGCATGGTGCTCTCCCAATGGGAGGGACTGCTACAGACCAACACTGCTCCCTGACTAGATGTGACACAGGTGCTAGATTGTCCTCTCGTTTATTCTCATGTCATTTAATTCTTGTTTCTCCTTCCTTTCTTCCATCACCCCTTCCTCTCTCTTTCCTTCCTCCATGCTTTCCTGCTTTCTTCCTGCTTTTTGCTTCCTTCCTTGCTTGCTTCCTTTCCTTCTTCATTTCCTTTTGCTATTCTTTTTAACTCTCTTTTTCTCTATCTTCTCACTACTAAGGTCTTCCCTTTTATTCCCGTGGTTATCTTTCCCTATCTTCCTCCTCCGTTTCAATCTTTGACTCTTCTGTTCTTTTCTTCCTTTACCTAAGTTCCCAAAGCCCACACCACACTCGAAGTAAGGACGGACATGGTAGCTCCTACCAGCTCCTCTGGTTGGAGCTCTTATTCCTCTTCCTTGCCACTCTTCATCAAGCTTTACAGTGTCCATGCGTTCCGAGGTTGTGGAGCTCCCCTACTTCATTCCATTCAGCAACTCGAGGTAGCTTCGGTTCATGCTGATAATCTCCTCAGTCATCAGTTCTTTCCTCCTTTCTTTTCCTTGCAGTGATTATTTTCCTCCTTTTTTCTCTGTCTTCCACTGTTTTGTCACTACCTCTCTTCCTTTTTCTTTCTTGCCCTGCTCTGCTCTACCTTTGCCTCCACTTCTCTTCTGCTTCCATCCTTGTCTCTTCATTTTGTGTTTTTACCAAAATGCTCTTAAACTAGGTACACCACACCCATCATGAAGCACAGACTTACACTTTGAAAAGAGCTCTCATACCTTTTCTCTGCCATCTCGCATTCCTGTGGACATAGAAAAGCACTCCCTCTTTTCTCCCTTCCATGCATCTCTAGCTTCCCCTCTCTTCATGATGAGGGCTACGCTCTTCACCTCCAGTCCTTTTAAAGGCCAGGCAAATAACAGAGTAATTATATGGCAAGCAACACCTCTGCTACAGAACAAAATCCACGACTCTCAGAAACACAAGACCAGGTGCTGGGACCTCTATTGAAACAGGTTCCAAAGACTCCAAACTACACAAGGAAGTAGTTCAGCAATTCAAACCCATCACAGCCCAGCAAGGCAACACTCCCCAAAGGCTGAAATAGCACGGGAGAACCACAGCTCAGGAGTACTCCTCAGGTACCTCAATGAACAGCCATTCTTCTGGCCTCCTCTTTCACCTGCAGAATTAATGTGAAACTCTTGCTTCTTTTTTTCAGGTACACATGCTTTGCCAGAACAGCACAGCAAGAACCTGTTCCCAGGGCCTTAGTCTCATGGACTATTTAGTCCCCTTAGTCTCACTCCTTAGCATGATCTACTCATCACACAGCCAAACAAAAGCCACCAAGGTAACACCACAGCGTTTTCACTGAGAACATACCCAATGCCTCAATGCCCAATGCCTCCACTACAAGGAACACATCAAGGTCCCTCTGTCCCTGATTCCAACTGCTCAAATTCTGCCAGGCAGCAGAAGGAAAGGAACGAGACCAGGTATTGGTGCTTGGTTGCTCTAAATCTACAGGCATTTTAATCCAGGCAAGATTCTGTTAATCCAACAGAAACCCCAACCAAAGAACAACATAAGTACATCAGCCTCTCAAACACATTCTCTATAATAAGCGACTTACCTGTAGCATCAATGGTGTCATCTTCAGAAAAAAAAATAAAAAAAAAACAAAACAAAAAAACAAACAAAAAAAAACCAACACCTTCAGGACAGCAGAATTGCTTTTGAGGGATTATCTGCAATTTAGGGAGATACTGGGCAGAGAAAATTACTCATGTTCTCCAAAAGCTTTGGAAATGCTGGACATGGTATGGTGCTCCCTCATGCGCCTCTGTCAAAGCTGAAGCAGAAGGAAACCTGAAAGCTGGTGACATTCTCTTCACAACATGATCATTTCAGGAGGGTGGAATAACCTTCCCACACACTCAGGAATAGTACACAAACCCTGCCACCTGACAGATGCCAAAATTCATTTCCATCTCTTACAACACATTGACAGCATAAGAAATAAAGGGTGGGCATTTTTGCTATAGAAAAGAGTAGAAGACAGAAGACACCCATGCCACTCTACTGCACCAGCAGGTTTGGTGACATCTTGATTACAAAGAGCACTTCTTCCCCTCCCTCACAAGACTAACACCAGAAAGATGATACAGATTTTGAAAAGATTCTGTTGACCAACAACATTCCACATCAAGAACGAATGACCAAGGAAACATACAGCAGTTACCTTCAAAAGCAGTGATACCACAGAGAATACCAGGTCCCTACAATATACAGAATTCTGGAGGCTCTCAGGATCCCAGGAGAGCAGTCCTGTGCACCAGGCCTCTTCTCAAGCTTATCTATTGGCATACTCAAACCCGTGCCATGGGAAATGTGATCTCCACAGCTAAGCAGACATTCTCCAGTTATCCCCAGTGACACAGACTGCGTTCTCCAGAGCATCATCTTTTCCCTCAGGGTATTCTCTTCCCTGCTCAAGGTCATGCTCCCACTGACACAGTCACAGGCCCTACTCAGTACCATCACTGCCACACCTTGATATTGCTTCATCACATGGACATGCTCCTGCTCAAACCCCTCAGACCATGACCCACGTCTTTGCACATACCTCCCCTCATGATTGCCACCAGAACACACGGAGTGATGCCCTTTCTGCACACTAAGTTTCAAACTGAAATTGAGCTCTTAAAAATGTTTCAGTCAGGGCTCTGACACCTCTGATCCAAGGCCACACAGATCTTATTCTTCAAGAGAACCATATCGAATGCCAGAAAGGCAGAGCTGGATGTGTATGTCTAGACATCAGATCCTGGGAAAGGATCCTGGGCAGGAACACTCTGCGCCCTCCCTGCTTCGTGCTATACTCTGGTCATTCCCCACTCCCCAGTCTGAGACATGTGTCCTCAGAACAAGTATGTAATCTCCCATTACTGCCTTACTACATGGCCCATGATCCTCACAAAGATTTCCATTCCAGGCAAGTCTTCCCATTGCTCAAGATCACCCTTCATATCCTGAAGTGCTAACATCGCACTCAGGGACACTGCCACATTCACCTCCTTGACATGCCTCTGCTTTTTTCCCCAACTCAGGCCTCACTCGAGCATTTGTGGACCCTTCCAAACAATGAGAACACATTAAGAAATTCCAAAAGACTGTTATTGTACAGACGGTGTGCAACACACTTAAATATTCAAAAGGTGATGTTAGATCAGCTCTAAATTGCAATGGCATTGATTTAATGCTGTGACAGAACAACCCAAGTGTGGACAAGCACCCAGTGTAACATATTGGTTCTGCAGGACAATTGGATTTACAGGGGTGTTACTGGGAGAGTTCTGTTTGGTTTTTTCCTTTGTAAGAAGGTGCAAATACTGAAAGAACATCAAAGCGGTCCAGTGTATGTCACATCACTTCACCGGTCAGGAGCACAAATTCACAACTGTTGACATCACATTTGTTGGTGTCAACATTTTTGTTGACACCACAAAAACCATACAGATGGTGGCATTCACACTGGGCTGAGCAGATACTCTGTAATTGACCCTTCAAATTTTGTTACCTCAAACGGAACTGATCCATACCTATGAGCTGTTACAGAAATGTTACACATGTATTCGTTGACATGGATGCAGGATAGCACTGATGGCAACGGGACTGAGTTCCCTCTGTGAGAAAACAACCCGGATTATCATGAGCACAGAACAACATTATGATGCTACCTAACGTAGAGGAGAATTTGTAGTCATTATAAGAGAAAGCTTTCAGCTTTTCCCTGAGGCTGTCAATGCTGATAAATATTTAAACACCATCCAAACGGGCCAGGAATGGAAATCTACAGCATGACTGGATTTGCAACAGAAACACAACAGGAAGCTTGCAGTTTCTGACAAATGCAGAGGTTGACGGTCTTCTGCCTGAACACTATGCTACTGAGAGGAGCTACACCCTAGCAAAAGAAAACGGAAAAAATCTACAGCTCCTCCCCTAATTTCATTATGATTCTGGTGAGAGAATTTAACTGGAGAAAATTCACCATAGGTAGAGAAACTCCTGACGTCCCTGTCATCCAGAGGACAAGCACAGAAGATGATGAAACACCACCACAACAAGAGCCACAGTATTTCGGCCAGCACACAGGGGCAGAGCCCAAGGCAGCCGCCCAGCACCCATTGCCCTCAGGACGCGGGGGCTAAGCCCGGCTCACGCCAGCAACTGCCCAGGGCGCGGGCAAGAAGAGCGACAGGAGGAAAGGGGCGAAGGGGAAAAGGGCAAGAGGAGAAAAAGGAAGGGTGGGAGCGCCACTGACCGTCTCCAGCAGAGCGGGCGCCTCCGGATGCGCCTCCTTTGCCGTGGAACCGGGCGGCGGAGGAAAGTTGGGGCTGAAAACCATCAGGTCGCTCTTGCCCGCGCCATCCGTCACGCACAGGCTCCGGCTCTGGCGCTGCGAGTACGACCAGCTCCCCACTTCGCTGGCGCATACAAACGTGGTCGGACCGGGACCCGACAGAACGGCCGACCGCGGCGCCCACCGCGCCGCCCCGTACAGCACCACCGCCAGCAGGAACAGGCTCGACACCGCGCAAATGGCCACCACCAGCCACACGTTCGTCGTCGCCGTCGATGCCGATGCACCGCCCCCAGCGGCTGCCGCCGACCGCAGCCCCGCCCCCGACGAGCCCGAGCTCGCGGCCGCCAGCGCCGCCTCGGCGCCCTCCACCAGCGACACGCTCAGCGTGGCCGTGGCCGAGCGCGCAGGCTCGCCGTGGTCCCGCACCACGATGACCAGACGCTGCCGAGGGCCGTCCGCCTCCTCCAGCGCCCGCGTCGTGCTCACCTCGCCGCTGTAAAGCCCCACGCGGAACGGGCCCTTGCCCCGCGGCTCCCACAGCTCGTAGCGCAGCCACGCGTTGTAGCCCGAGTCCGCGTCCACCGCGCGGATCTTCGCCAACACTTGCCCCGCCGGCGCCCCCCACGTCGCCCACGCCCACAGCTCCGCTGAGCCCCCTCCCGACGCCGCCGAGCCCGAGATCCCGGCTCCAGGCCCGTCCCCGGCAGGCGGCAGCAGCACCGGCGCGTTGTCGTTCTCGTCCAGCACGAAGAGCTGCACCGTGGCGTTGCCGCACAGCGCCGGCTCCCCCGCGTCCACCGCCCGCACCTCGAACTGCAGCACCTGCAGCTCCTCGTAGTCCAGCGGCTGCAGCGCCCACAGCCGACCGCTCTCCGCGTCCACCGACACGTAGCTCGACGCCGGACGCCACCCGACGCCCGACACCGCGGCCCCGCCGCCGCTCTCCGCCACCGAGTAGCTCACGCGCCCGTTACCCGCTTCGTCCGGGTCCCGCGCCCACAGCCGCGCCAGCTCCGCGCCCGCCGCGTTGTTCTCCCGCGCCAGCACCGTGTACACGGCCTGGGCGAACGCCGGCGCGTTGTCGTTCACGTCCGACACCGGCACACGCAGACCCCGGCTGGCGCGCAGCGGGGGAGACCCGCCGTCCTCCGCCCGCACCTCCAAGTCGTACTCAGACACCCGCTCCCGGTCCAGCGCCTCCCGCAGCACCAGCGAGTACGAACCGCCGAACGTCGACACCAGAGCAAAGGGTACCGGCGGCCACACCGTGCAGCGCACCCGACCGTTCTCCCCGGAGTCTCGGTCCGACACGCTCAGCAGAGCCACCACCGTCCCCACCGCCGCGTCCTCCGGCACCGGCACCGACAGCGACGTCACCCACACCTCTGGTGAGTTGTCGTTCACGTCCAGCACCTCCAGCTCCACACTGCAGTGTCCCGACAGCGGCGGGAAGCCTTTGTCTCTTGCTTCAATTTGCAGCTCGTGTAAGCGGACGTCTTCAAAGTCCAGGGCGCCCCTAAGTCTGATCTCGCCTGTCTTTGGATCAATGGAGAAAAGATCTCTCATAGCAACAGGAACAGAACTGACCAGACTGTAAGTAAATTCCTTATTCAGACCTTCGTCCAGATCCGTGGCGTTTACCCGCGCCACCAGCGTTCCCTCCGCAGCGTTTTCCTGCAGCTGCACTTTATACACAGACTGGTTGAACTGGGGAGCGTTGTCGTTCGCGTCCAGCACCGAGATCACCAGCTCCACAGTGCCCGTCAGCGGAGGTCGGCCCCCATCACTCGCCGACAGCATCAGATGGTGAATCGGTATCGTCTCGCGGTCCAGAGGTTTTGTGAGCACCAGGAAGAGAGATTTTCTGTGCTTATCAGGGGATTTAACATCGACCGTAAAGTACTCGCTGGGGCTCAGGCTATAGGAGAGCTGAGCGTTGGCTCCGACATCTGCATCCGATGCGCCCTCCAGGGGGAAACGAGACCCCGGCAGAGTAGATAATTCCGCGATGCTCAGGTTTTTGCGTGCAGCGGGGAAGACCGGGGCGTTGTCGTTGATGTCGGTGACCTCCAGCTCCACGTGGAAGACGCGCAGCGGCCGCTCCACCAGCACCTCCAGCCGCAGGGAGCACGGCGAGCTCTTCCCACACAGCTCCTCCCGGTCCAGCCGCGAGCTCACCACCAGCGCCCCGCTCGCCCCGCTCACCTCCACGCTCGCCCGCCGGCCCTGCGACACCAGCCGCAGCCGCCGCGCCTCCGGCTCGCCCGCCTCCAGGCCCAGGTCCTGCGCCAGCCGGCCCACCACCGTGCCGGCCTTGGCTTCCTCCGGCACCGAGTACCGCACCTGCCCGCCGACCAGCACCCAGGCCAACTGCAGCACCAGCACCCGCAACAAGGCACCACGACACACGCAGCCCATCGCTATCGCCGCCGGAGGCACCGGCCCTGGCTCTGCTCGGTTCCTTGCAGCTGCCCGGATTCTCCGGCTTTCCTGCTCCGCCGGCGTCGCCCCCCCGCACTCACAGCCGGGCTCTCCAGCCAGTCGCACCGGGGTGGATCTTTCGACACGCCGTTTCTGAGCCTGCAGCGACACCGTGTGCTGCTCCAACACTTCACACGCTTTCCGACACCGTCCAAGCCTCCGGACCCCGGCTGCTCCGCTCTCCCTCGCCTTTTCCTCCCCATTCTCTTTCCTTTCCTTATCTTCATTCCCTTTTTTTGTCCTTGCTTGCTCTGTGTATGCATAGATGCTTTTCTCTCCTCCCTCCTTTTCTGTTCTTTCCTTTCGTTCTCTGCCGTTCATCTTCCTTTCCCCCTCTCTCAGTCTTTGTGATTCCTTTCTTCTCCCATCTTTGCTTCCTCTTCTTGCTTTTTTTTCCTTTTTCTTCTTCCTTCTATTCCTTCTTTTCCTCCCTTTCCACCCTCCTTGCTTTATTTTCAGTTTGATCTTTTGTACTCTTTTTAATTATATTTCACTCATCAATGGCCTTATTTCCTCCCCTCCTCTTCTGCTTCCATCCTTGTCTCTTCTATTCCTTTTTTTCCCTTTACAAAAATATTTTCCCAATGTCCACCATGCTCGCAAGAATGGACAGACATGGCCCCTGGCAGGAGCTCTCATTCCTCTTCCTTCCCACCCCTTGCAGGGCGCCCCTGACTACTGATTATACCGAGTTCCTCATTTCCATTGAGAGTCGAGATAGTATCAGAGCCTGCTGGTGATCTTCACAATCATCCCCTCCATCCTTCTACCTTTTTTCTTTCTTCCTTGCCTACTTATTTCTTACAAAGACTCCTTCCCCCACCTTTTTTTCCCCACTCCTTTCTCCCATTCTCTTCGTTACTTTCATTTCTTGATCCTCTGCCATATCTTTGCCTCTGCTTGTCTTCTAGTTCCATCCTGTATCTTCTGCTCATTTTGTCCTTTACCAGTGTTTCTAAATTAACCATACCACACTTGTCGTGAAGCACTCACGTCCTTTGGCAAGAGCTCCCATTCCTTTTCCCTTCCACCTTCCATCCCTCTAGACACAAAAGAGCCTTCCTGTTTTCCTTCTTTCCATGCACCTCCAACTTCCCCTCCCCTCAGGATGAAAACCATACACTTCAGCCTTCAGTACTCTCAAGGACACCACGAATAACAGCAAGGCAATCGTGGCAAAGAACAGCTCTGCTACAACAGAACAGAATCCATCACCCTCAGAAACACAAGCACCAGATATCTCTGCAAGCAGTCTCCAGGTAGTCTAATCCAGGGGAGTCTCTCATTCAGGAACTCAAACCCGTCACAGCTCAGGATGACAATTAGGAAGGCTTATAAAGCCCAGGGCCACCACAGCACCCAAGCACTGTTTATGTAGCATTATGAAGAACTATTCTGGTTTCATTTTCCACTTCCACACTGAAAGTCCAGCTCTTCTTCTGTGGCACACATGCTCTGCCAGAACAACACAGACAGAACCGCCATACCCAGGGCCATTAGTCTTCATGCAATAGCTCTCATTTAAATAATCACTTGTCATACGGCCAAACAAAAGCCACCAACGTAACACTATATTTCCACTGAGAACATCCCCTTGTCAACTAAGGGGATTGACAAGGTTGGTTGTCATTCCATTAAATACATTGGTGTCCTTTTTCCATTCATGCTTCCTGCTGCCTGATCATGCTGTGCCTGGAAGCAGAAGGAAAGTAATGAGAGCAGGCAGTGGTGCTTTGCTGCTCCAAACCTATGGGCATTTCAGTGAAGGTGACATTCATTCAATTCAACATGAAGACACCACAACTGAACAGGAACCTGTTCTTTCAAAATGCATTTTCTTCATGTACAAGTAACTTACATACAGTGTCACTGGTGTCATCTTCAGAAAAGAACTGGTTTTGAGGGACATTGTCCCTTAAAATTATCTGCAATTTCATGGGAAGCTAAACAGAAAAAAAAGATTATTCACGTTCTCCAAAAGCTTTCAAAACACTGGACACTGTGGTGCTCACTCATTCACCTGTATCAAAGCAGAATAGGGAGAAAAACCTGATAGTGGTATTATCTCAACACCAACCTCAGGGCAGGAGAGTGGAAAAACTGTCACACACACAGAAACCTGCCGCCTGACAGCTGCCAACATTCAGCAGTCTGCATCTCATCCCCTGTTCCCCAAAAATGGACAATGTGAGAGAAGAAAAACAGCAATGCCAGGTTTGCAACATCTTGAATATGGATAGCATCTTCCCCTCACTCACAGGACTAAGACCAGAGAGATAAAGGAGCAGATGTTCTGAGAAGGCTGCCAAAATTATTCCAATTTCAAAAAAGCTTCTGCTGGACTAAAAATATTCCACTTTAAATTACTAAAGGCATGTACAGCAGTTATCTTCAAAAGCAGTGATACCACAGAGAATATCAGACCATGCAATATGCAGAACTTCTGGAAGCCCAGAGAGGATCCCAGAAGAGCAGCCCTGTGTGCTGGGCCCCTTCTCCCAGTTTTCTATCCTCATCCTCCATCTGTGCCACAAGAATTGTCATCTCCACCAGCTAAGCAGACATTCTCCAGTCCTTCCGCAGTAATACTGTGGTCTACCCAGCATTTCCTTTTCCACAAGGAAGACACTTCCCCACTCAAACTACCCCTCCCCGTGACATAGGCCACACCATGTCAGTGCCACTTGGAGGATCACTGCCAAAATCCTCAGGCTTTGGATTGCCCTACCACAGACCAGTCTTCTCACTGCTCACAGTCAACTTTCTCATCAGGAAATGACCAGGTCCTACTCACTGCCACATTCACCTCCCAGACATGCCACTGTTTCTTTTCCTGCCTCAGGGTTCACCCCAGCTTTTGTTAATCCTTTCCATCAAGAAGGCAGGTCTGGGCTCTCAGCAATGTGGATATAGTTAGACATCCCTGCTCATTGCAGGGGGCTTGGATTAGATGACTTTTAAAGGTCCCTTCCAAAACAAACTATTCCAATTTGATCATTCCCTGGAAGCCCGACTCCAAGAACACCATTAGGGTCCTTTCTCTACTCATGCTTGCTTCCACCTGACCTAGCTGTGCCTAGCAACAGCAGGAAATGTAGGAGACCAGGCAGTGGTGCTTTGCTGATTAGAGTCAACATTCATTTGACCCAACAGCCAAAACAGGAACAAAAGTAGACCTGTCTCACAAATGCAGCCTTTTCTGGTAGAAGCAACTTACATGTAGCATTGTTGGTTCTTAACAAAAGACAGTTGTTTCTAAGTGACATCATTTCTTGATATCAGTGCTTTCTAGAGAGCCTGAACAGAAAAATTGTAACTGGCGTTCTCCAAAAGCTGTGAAATTATTCCTCAGTGCCCTGTGCTCCCACATTTGTGTCAGGCCTCAGGCGGGACTTCTGAGTGCCAATGATACTCCCAAAGTCATCCTCACCTTGGTATAGTGGGAAAAATTATCCCCCACACTGATGGCCAACCACGCAAAACCTTTGCAATCTGAGAGCTTGCCAAAATTCGACTGTCTGCATCACATTCCCTCATAGCCAACATGTTGCACTGTGAGAAATAAAAGATTTTGCTAAAAAGAGAAAACCAAAGGATCCTATGCCACTGCACCGAAAGGCCAGGTCTGCCAATGTCTTGGACCAGCAAGTGTACAAGGTTATACAGAACTTCTGGAGGTCCCAGAGGATCCTGGACAAGTCCTGCACTGTGCAGGGGGACACTTCTGGAAGTTTTCCATTATCTATTTCTTGCTTTGGGAAATATGATCATTTAAGCAGATATGGCCCAGTTCTTCCCCAGTGGCACAGGCCATGTTCTACACAGCACCACCATTTCCCTCAGAAAACTCTTCCCAGCTCAAGGACACACTCCCTGAGGTGCAGGCCTAGGCAACAGTCAGTGCCACCGGAGGATCACTGACACAGTGGCCAGATATTGCTCTACCACTAAGTGTTTCCCAACAAATAAAGCCCACACTGAAAATGACCCAGACTTTTGCACATCCTCACCTTCCTTTAGGATTGGCACAAAAAACATATGAAACTGCAAAGCCACTCGGTGACTCTTAGACTTCCCAGCTGCCTGCATGCTTAGCGCCTTTTCAGCACTTTCAGATAGAAATTGAATTCTTAAAGACTCTGTGATTAGATTCTGCGATTAGGCCAAACCTTTCTTTACGGACCCACCAGCAATAGCCGGGGTGCCCCAGCCAGGACTCGGAGGCAGATGACAAGGCGCCCGGAGGAGCCTCAATCACTCGCACAGCACCCACCGCCCTTCAAGACCCGGGGGCTGAGATCGGCTGACACAAGCAACTGCTCAGAGGGCGAGACAGCGAGAAGGCTGACAGGGAAGAAGGGGCGACGGGGGAAGGGGCGAAAGACGAGAAAGGAAGGGAGGGAGGGCCACTGACCGTCTCCAGCAGAGCCGGCGCCTCCGGATGGGCCTCCTTTGCCGTGGAACCGAGCGGCGGAGGGAAGTTGGGGCTGAAAACCATCAGGTCGCTCTTGCCCGCGCCATCCGTCACGCACAGGCTTCGGCTTTGGCGCTGCGAGTACGACCAGCTCCCCACTTCGCTGGCGCACACGAGCGTGGCAGGACCGGGACCCGACAGAACGGCCGACCGCGGCGCCCACCTCGCCGCCACGTACAGCACCACTGCCAGCAGGAACAGGCTGGACACCACGCAGATGGCCACCACCAGCCACACGTTCGTCGTCGTCGCCGATGCACCGCCCTCCGCCGACCGCAGCCCCGCCTTCGCAGAACCGGAGTCAGTGGCAGTCAGCACCGCCTCAGCGCTTCCCACCAGCGACACGCTCAGCGTGGCCGTGGCCGAGCGCGCAGGCTCGCCGTGGTCCCGCACCACGATGACCAGACGCTGCCGAGGGCCGTCCGCCTCCTCCAGCGCCCGCGTCGTGCTCACCTCGCCGCTGTAAAGC